AAAATAGACTAACACCCATTTGCCACCAGCTTTAAATCTAAACTCTAAAAGAAAATTATATTTATATGTAAATCATACACTTTTCATCACATTCTGTAAGAGCAGCAATCCTTGGACGATGGAGGCTATCATACTTGTATCTGATGAAAAGAAACTAAGAGGAGCAATAGTATGCCAAAAAGCCACCTGAACACGTTCCTCATTCACCAAGCCCATGGCTAATCTTCCACCACAACTCCACTTTCCAACAAAATCCTTTGGTCTCTTAGTCTCCAAAGCCTAAATTCACTTGATTAAACTTCCATGTATCTTTCAAGGGTGAAAGTAGTAATTGAGAGCAGAAACTACGCCTGGTTTTCCTTAAATTTGTGTGTAAGTCTTGCTGCTATACCTCGTACAACTTTTATCAGCTAGTTCAGCAGGGGAAACGTAGTAATAGATAAACTGCAGATTCAGAATTCTATTTAAAAGAGAATAACTTAGGTAATACCATAAGACTACCCCTCATTATTGAATGCACCCTATAGTTTTTCCTGTTGAACACACTGTTGAAAATATGTGTAAGTTGACAATATTTGGCTTTATTGTACTCACTGTAAAAACTGTCTAATGTCTGGTCCCATATTCCTCTGATGCACATTTTTGCTCAACACCTTCATGGTTGAAAACTTACACACGAACAATTAAAATCGTCTGAGAGTCCTTTATATGTTTCCCAACATGAATAGCCAGCTTATGACAAAGACAGAATTAATAGCTCACAGCTCAACATGAATACAATGATGCAAATGCCTTAATGGAGTTTCTTCCTAACAAATAGCTATCTCACAGTTCACTCACTCATAATAACCCAAAGGATCACTAACTGAACCAGCTGCCAAGTCTGTCAATAAACTGAATCACATCATCTATAAAAATAGAGTACCATTTGAAGCATTCCTGAATTAGACTTTAGTGTCATTACAAGAGTTGTGATGATCCATGTGTGGAAAAATGCTGAATTTTCATTTTGTGAAATATTCTCAAGGAATTCAGCAGGTCTGGCAGCAAAGAAGGTTAAATCAGTTTCCAGATAAGAGATCATTCAGTTCCAAGAATTACCCATGTGAACTGGGATTACCATGGGGATGAACAGACAAGGTGCAAAGGCTAAGTGGAAAGCTAATTACTGCGATGTAGGGTTTCAGTCTGTCTTTCTGTTTTACAGTGAATCTGGGTGGTAGGAAAGGAACAAGATTGTCTCTGAATGAAAGTTTTCTATTTGGCAGTTTTTGAACAGATTCTTATGTTGAAGCAGGTTTTTGAGAAAAGGACAGAGCAAGTGTTTCTGTGTTATAAAACTGGAAAGAACAGGGGGCTGAAAACAGGAAGGTCAGAGAACTGTGGATTGAAAAAGAATCACTGCTGCCAGGGGCTCTGACAAAGACTTTTGTATCCTCTTTAGCCACAGGTGACGTCCCAGATGACTGGAGAACAGCCAGGGTTATTTCTTTGTTTAAGGAGGGCAAGAGGGATAATCCGAGAAATTATAGACCAGTGAGCCTTACATCAGTGGTAAGGAAATTATCGGAAAAGAATCTTAGAGACAAATTTTTCTCAAATTTAGAAAAGAATGTACATCACAGGGAGTCAGCAAGGCTTTATGAGAGGGAAGTCTTGTCTCACAAACATGATTGAGTTTTTGAGGAAGCGATGAAGATAATTGATGAGTAGGGCAGTGGATGTTATTTACATGGATTTTACTAAAGCATTTGACAAGGTCCCTCATGGTAGGCTGGCCCAGAAAATTAAGTAACATAGGATCCATGGTGAGATGACAAATTGGATACAGAATAGGCTTGGTCATAGACAACAGAGGACATTTTGGAGGTGTGTTTTCTGACTATAGGTCTGTTATCAGTGATGTTCTGCAAGGATTTGAGCTAGGACCTCTCTTGTTGGATCAAAATGCCGGTGGTTTGATTGCAGATGATGCAAAAATTGGTAAAGTTGTGGATAGGGAAGAAGATTATTAAAGGATACGGCAGGATATAGATCAGTCGGAAAGTTGGGTGGAGAAATGGCAGATGCAATTTAATCTGGACAAGTGTGAGGTGATGCATTTTGGGAGATCAAATGCAAGAGGAAAGTATACAGTTAATGGCAGGACCCTTAGCAACATTAATATACAGAGGGATCTTGGGGTTCAAGTCCATACAGCACCCTGAAAGTGCAACGTAAGTGGATTAGGTGGTAGAGAAGGCATACAGCGTGCATGCCTTCATCAGGCAGGGTACTGAGTATAAAAGTTGGCAAGTCACACTGTAACTGTATAAAACTTTAGTTATGCCACATTTAGAGTGTTGCGAGCAGTTCTAGTCCTCACACCATAGGAATGATGTTGAAGCTTTGGAGAGGGTGTAAAAAAGGTTTACCAGAATGTTGCCTGGATTGGAGTGTATTAAATATAAGGAGAGGTTGGACAAACTTGGATTGTTTTTGCTAGAGCATTGGAGGATGACAGGCTACTTGATAGAAGTATATAATATTATTAGAGGCATGGATAGTTAAGAGTCTTTTTCCCCCAACATGGAAATGTCACATACTACTACAAACATATTTAAGGTAAAAGGGGGAAAGTTTAAGGGAGATGTGTGAAGTACGATCTTTACACAGAGGGTGGTAGGTGCCTGGAATGTGCTGCCAGGGGAAGTGGTAGAAGCAGATACGTTAGCAACATTTAAGAAGCATTTAGACAGACACATGAACAGGAAGGGAATAAAGGGATACAGACCATATGCAGGTAGATGGGATTAGTTTAGAATGGCATCATGGTTGGCACAGAAATGGTGGCTGAAGGGCCTGTTCCTGTGCTGTGCTGCTCTATGAAATCTATGTTACTTTGTCAGTAGTAACTATGTCCAGGGACTTTGGATGGAGCTGCTGAATGTGAGTCAAGGCAAGTGGATAGTGAGAGATACTGCACAGCGATGGCTGAGATGAAAAGAATGAGAGATTGCACATGTTGTCACATTTATTTGGAAAGAAATACAAACACTTATAATTATTTAAATGAATGCTAAATGAGTACCTCACATCTGTCCTTACTCATGAGAAGGAGGATGCAAGTACAGAATTAGAGAAGATGGACTGTGAAGTACAAGAATATTGTCCTTCATTGATAGAGGGATGGAGTTTAAAATTAGGAGGGTTGTGCTGCAGCTGTATAGGGTGCTGGTGAGGCCACACCTGGAGTGGTCTGTACAGTTTTGGTCTCCTTACTTGAGAAAGAATGTACTGGCACTGGAGAGGATGCAGAGGAGGTCCACTAGGTTGATTCTGGAGTTGAGAGAATTGGCTTATGAGAAATTAAGGAGACTGGGACGATACTCATTGGAATTTAGAAGAATGGGGGGATATTATAGAAACACGTAAAATTATGAAGGCAATAGATAATATAGAAATAGGGAGGTTATTTCCACTGGCGGGTGAAACTAGAGCTAGGGAGAATAGTCTCAAAATAAGGAGGTGCAGATTTAGGACTGAGTTGAGGAGGAACTTCTTCACCCAAAGGATTGTGAATCTGTGGAATTCCCTGCCCAGTGAAGCAGTTGAGGCTACCTTGTTGGATGTTTTTAAAGCAAAGATAGATAAATTTTTGAACAGTAAAGGAATTAAAGGTTATGGTGAGCGGCCGGAAAAATGAATCATAGAATCCCTACAGTGTGGAAACAGGCCCTTAGGCCCAACAAGTTCACACTGGCCCTCCGAACAGCATCCCACCCAGACCCATCCCCATGCCCGTTTTCCCTGTAACTCATCTAATCTCCCTGAACACTACAGGCAATTTAGCATGACCAAACCACATAACCCGCATTTTTTTGGACTGTGGGAGGAAACCGGAGCACCCAGTGGAAACCCACGCAAACACGGGGAGAATGTGCAAACTGCACACAGTCGCCCAAGGTGACTTGGTAATCAAAAGTTGGCTTAGTGACAGGAGACAGAGTGTGGTGTGGGAAGACTTTTATGTGATTGGAGCCTGGTGTGCAGCTGCCTGCCAAGGAGTCAGTGCTGAATTCCATATTGTTTGTGATATTCATAACTAACATAGATGAGAATATGGTGGGGATGGGGTGAAGTCGGGAAGTAAGCTTGTGGGTGACACAAAGATGACTTTATAAACAAGCGCTTGTCGGGTTAGCAATCCAGAAGAAGGAGAACTTGGCGTGGGATGGAGATTAGGGTGAAAGTGTAGGAGAACTTGGGGCTAGATTGAAAGAGTCGCTAAAATTATTGATCTAATGTTTTCCAGGTACTTAGGAAGTAAACAGATTGCCAGTATCTAATACCTAGAGGTGCAGTTTGCAAGTTGAGAGATAATTGGTGAATTATTCCACAGTGGTCGATATCCTGTCACCTCGTCACCCTTTATTTACACATGAACATTCCTTGACTTGAGTACTGCCTCTTCAGAGTCAGCTATTGGTGTGGCATTATCTCTGACACTCCTGTTTATATCTTTCAGCCAGGGCTTCCTGGTTGGACCAGATTAGCAGCCCCAAACAGGGAGCTCATATTCTGAGGTCCACCTGGCTGAACTCATTACAAAAACCTGCAGAAAAAACCTTACAAACAATTAGCCAAAAAAGCAAGAAAAAAGCACCACTTCCCCTCTTCAATGAATTCCCACACTGCCTCCAAATTCCCTGAACTATATTTTCACTTGGGCTGTGTCTCAGTCTGAGTGTGATCTCTCCTTCCTGACCATGTGAAACTTACTGATCATATTGATTATATATAACAAATAGTAATTCTTGTTAAATACAGAAACCTGGCTCATGTTTTCTGTCAATCTACGTCTAAAATATAGGTACACTGGGGAATTCTGCATACTTATTGAAATCTTTAACTACGTAACAACTCCAGGAATAGCAGGGCTTGATTCTAGCACGCAACGCTAGTGAGTCAAGACATATGTCAGTACAAGGCACTCATACAGAAAACAAGAGTGTGTTTACCGCCTCTGAATTTCCAGTTCCTCTTGGCATGGACCATTCTGCACTTGTGGAAATAGTTGTGAATTCTGTCGTGACAGCGTTGGACCTGGAACAGGAAACAGAAAATTATTTTTCAAGGATACCACATTACATATAAATAAGAGGTACAAAGGGCACACATACAAATTAATGTCACAGAGTGACTATATGTTTCCCCAAACAGAATGTAACTCTACAGCAACTATGTTATAGAATTTACATTGAGTTGTAGATGCAATTTGTATCCTTAACAGCTACAATTAGCATACAGAAAGTCTTGTAAACAAATTTCCTTTGAAGACTGTACCTTTAAACCCTGCCAAGAACAGCAAATGCTGTGTAACATCACAGTATGACCACATATTCTGTGCATTCTAGTGACAAATTGGCCGAGCACTCAGCCATTAGAAGTTACTAAATGTCAATCTCAGCATCCCTAAATTAGAGAGAGGAAATCGGCCAAGGTTTCCACTGCTGTTTGCTATACAGTGATCCCTACAGAAAGATACTTGATAGGAATGCGATTAGACTCTGCAGTGATGCTCCCGTAAGTAAAGAACCTAGCAAAACTCCTCATTCAACATCATAAAGGAGAGGCAATTGGCTTAGTGGTATTATCACTGGACTACTAATCCAGAAACTCAGCTAATGCTCCGGGGACCTGGGTTTGAATCCTGCCATGGCAGATGGTGGCATTTGAATGCGATTAAAAAAAGTCTGGAATTAAGAAACTACAGGAAAATCCCATCTGGTTCATTAAGGTCCAATCTGCCATCCTCACATGGTCTGGCCCACATGTGACTCCAGACCCACAGCAAGCGGTTGACTCTCAATTGCCCTCTGGGCAATGGAAGCTGACCTGATCAGTGATGCCCACATCCTGTGAATGAATAAAAACAAATGTGAAAAAGGCCATTTCGATAGAGTATGAGGCTATCAAGTGTTCAGTGAACTGAATGAATAGTGGGGGAGGAAAAAGGAGAATCCCAATCTGCTCAACTGTATTATTCTCCAAGAACGAATGTTAACCTACATCAATCGCCACTCGTCTTGTTTGTTCCTTAAATCATTTCTTCTGACAAAAGGCTTTGACAAGGTTCCATATGGAAAACTGACAAAGAAGGTAAAGGACATAAGATCCAGGATAACTTGACAAGATGGATCCAAAATTGGCTTAGTGGTAGGAGACAGGGGGTGGTGGTGGAAGGCTGCTTATCCGAGTGGCATACCACTGGGACTAGTGGCTCTGATTATCTGTGAATTATAAATGACATAGATGAGAGTGTGGGGGAATGAAAATAAGTTTACGGATGACACAAAGAATGGAGTGGTCTTAAGTTAAAGAAAAATATAGGTGTGTTGGTCAGATGAGCAGGTCAGTGGCAGATAGAATTGAATCTTGAAAAGTGGAAGAAGTAACAAGACAAGGGAGTACTCAATGAAAGGCTGGATACCAAGGGGCTCACAAAAATATAGAAATCTTGGGGTGCTTATCCACAGATTCCTGAAGGTAGCAACAAGGTTAATAGGATGTTTAAGAAGGCATACAGGACACATGACTTTATCGGTTGTAGCATCATGTACAAGGGCAGGAAGGTTATGATGGAGACGTACAAAACTTTGGTTAGATCACAGCTGGAGTTCTGGTCACCACACTAATAGGAAGGATGTGATTGCATTAAAGAGGGTGCACAGGAGATACATCAGAATGTTGCCTGGTATAGAGCATTTCAGCTAAGATGAGAGGCTGGATAGTTTCAGGCTGTCTTCTTTAGAGCAGAAAAGACTGAAGGGGAAACTATTTGAGTTGTGTAAGAGTATGTGGGGCTAGATAGGATGTATGGATTTCTTTATTGATTTATTGTTGTCATATGTACCAAGATGCAGTGAAAAGTGTTGTTTTGCCTGTTCTAAAGGCAGATCGTACCATACGAAGTACATCGGGGCAGCAGAACAGACTGCAGAATACAGTGTTACAGACACAGAGAAGGTGCAGGGAGAGGGATCAAAATTAACATTTGAGAGGTCTGCTCAAAAGCAATGTCCCTTAGATGACGGGTCAATAATAAGGGGACATAAATTTAACATGAAGAGCACAAGGTTTAGAGGCGCTATGGGGAGAAACCTTTTCACCCAGAGGATGGTGGGAATCTGGAGTGCATTACCTGGGAGAGAAGAGGAGGTGGGAAAACTTACAACTTTAAAAATTATGTGGATGGGCACTTGAAATGTCATAACATTGAGCCAAGGGCTAGATTCATGTAGATAGGTCAGTACAGACTCAATGGGCCAAAGGGTCTCTTCTGTGCTGTATGAGTCTATTTTGGGGGTGGGGGGGGAGAGGCGGTGGGGTTCGTTAGCTCAATTGGCTGGAAGGCTGGTTTGCAATGCAGAGTGGTGCAAAGAGCTGGGGTTGAATTCCTGTACTGGCTGAGATTACCATGAAGGTCACACCTTATCAAACTTGCCCCTCGCCTAAGCCCTGGTTATTATCAGGTTAAACTCCCCACCAGTTGACCGTCTCAAATGAGAGAGCAGCCCTCTGGTTCTCTGGAACTATGGTTATTTTACCTTTACCAATGACACTAAAATATTTTTGTGACAAGGAATGTTCCTGGCTCAACTGGGATGACACAGTGGCTCAGTGGTTAGCACTGCTGCCTCAAAGCACCAGCAACCCGGGTTCGATTCCACCCTTGGGTGACTGTGTGGAGTTTACACATTCTCCCCGTGTCTGCATGGGTTTCCTCTGGGTGCTCCAGTTTTCCACCCACAGTCCAAAGATGTGCTGGTTAGGTGAATTGGCCATGCTAAATTGCCCATAGTGTTCAGGGATGTGTTGATTAGGTGGATTACAGGGGGACAGGTTTGGGTGGGATGCTCTGAGGTTCAGTGTGCACTTGTAGGGCGAAAGGCGTGTTTCCAAACTCGAGGGCTTCTATGATTCTATGAACTGGTCTGTGGGTTGCTGAGTTTCTGTAAGAAATCTGTTGTGTACATTTTGGCACTCTACACCAGCATCCTCCATGATGATGGCATCACTACAACAGCCTCAGTACTTAACACCAACAACTGCCAATTTCCAGATGCCATCCTACAACTCATCCACTTCATCCTCGACCACGATGTCTTCACCTTCGACAATCAGTTCCTCATCCAGAAACATGGAACAGCCAATGGGGACCAAAGTTGCACCCCAATCCACTAATATTTTCATGTATAAGTTCAAGCAACACCTCTTTGCTACACAGGACCTCCAACACAGGTCCTCCAACCAACATGGTACACCAGATATACCGACGACATTTTCTCCTCTGGCTTCATGGCAAGGAATCACTGAAATGACTACATAGCGATATCAACAAGTTTCATCGCACCATCAGACTTATCATGGACTACTCTTCAGAATCAGTCTCATTCTTGGACACATGCATCTCCATCAAGGACAAACACCTCAGTACTTCACTCTACCATAAGCCCACCGATAACCTCACAATGCTGCACTTCTCTAGCTTCCACCCTACACATGATAAAGAAACCATTCCCTACAGACAACCCCTGCGCATACACAGGATCTGCTCCAATGAGGACAAACGCAACGGACACCTAAAGATGCTGAAAGACACCCTCATAAGAACTCAATCGCCGGTTTCGATGTGCCACAGCGAGAAACCGCAATGACCACCGCAGAAGACAGACTTGGGACACGACTGATAGAGTAACCTTTATCATCCAGTACTTCCCCAGAGCGGAAAAACTATGACACCTTCTTCGCGGCCTTCAACATGTCATTGATGACAACAAACATTTCAGCAAGATCATTCCTATGCCCCCACTTCTCGCCTTCAAACAACTGCCAAAGCTTAAACAGACCATCATTCGCAGCAAACTTCCCAGTCTTCAGGACAACATCGACCACAACACCACACAACCCCGCCATGGCAACCTCTGCAATATATGTCAGATCGTCGACATGGATACGACCATCACACGTGGGAACACCACCCACCACGGACATGGCAGATACTCATGTGACTCAGCCAATGTTGTCTACCTCATACGCTGCAGGCAAGGATGCCCCAAGGCATGGTATATTGGTGAGACCATACAGACCTTATGGCAACGGATGAATGGACACCGTATAACAAACACCAGACAGGAATGTTCCTTCCCAGTGGGGGAACACTTCAACGGTCAAGGACAATCAGCCTCCGATCTTCGGGTAAGTGTCCTCCAAAGTGGCCTTTAAGATACACAACAATGCAGAACTGCCAAGCAGAAACTGACAGCCAAGTTCTGCACCCATGAAGACAGCCTCAACCATGATCTTGGGTTCATGCATGTAACCCCCACCATACTGTTCTCTATTCGTAAAATCTTCCTTACCGTCCTGTTTGGACACCATCACCTCAATAACTTGTTACGATCTCCCTACCTTAATTAGTTTGTACAATTTTGGATTACTTGTTACTTTGGTTAGACTTTTGGCATGTGACTCTTATACCTATCATGTTATTCCAGCCATGTGGTTTGTCTCCAGCACCACCTTGTTTTTAATTTTGTGTAATTATCTCTCTGCCTTACTTAATCAGATTACAGGTCATCCCCTTCACTTACTATTCAGCTGTAGACACTTTACTCACACAATCTGACACTTTTGATCACCTGCAGAGATTTATTATTCAACACTTCACTCACACCATTTGTATGATTTCTGATCTCTCTGCCCATTGATTTCTCTGCCAATAAATTCTGTGCGCCAGTATGCTTTTCTTCACTTCACCTGACCAAAGGGGCAGCGGCCAGAAAGGCGTGTGATTTCAAATAAACCTGCTGGACTATAATCTGGTGTCGTCTAACTTCTGACCTTGTCCACCCCAGTCCAACTGGAACCTCTACATCATGGCTACCAGTCAGACAGTTGCAGATGTGGCAATGAAAAACAGTTGTGCAAAGCAAAGGATCGGGAAGACACCTACATGTCCATGCATGGAGGTCAGTCACTTTGTCTGAAATATGATAAAAAGGAAACTACAAGGCTCACAATCTCATGGAGCAATAGAAATG